CTCCTGCGCCACCTATCAGCAAATTTTTTTGTGGATTTGTTTCTATTCATACAGGTAATATATATGTTCTAAATACAAATATCTCGACTCCTGCGCCACCTAGCGGACTAAGTCATCTTTTATATTTGCGTTGTCCTCGAGTTCTGAGCTAAGTTTGAAGTTTCAAGTATGTAGCTCATCGGGAAGTTTGTTAAATATTGATTGCAAAGTTCCAGGTCATACATACATAAACACAAGTGAAGTTAAATAAAAGCTTGTAAAAAGCCTTGTATAGGCGCATTAAGTTAATAATGTATACAATTATGAAGAAAAAAATATTCGCATTCATTCGATGTAAGTGCTATGAATTGATTTACGCAAAAAAATCGCCATAAGTTTTTTTCTTTTTTAGTTGATCGCACTTTAGATCTAGATGTGCGATATGTACATACATACATATGTATTTGTAGCCGTAACCACCGGGTGCGTTTGAAACTCCTATTAGGGATCGATCTGACTTGATGTTTCTAGTTCAACTTCACTAAGGAAGCTTAAACGTGATTGATCAAAAAATGTTTTAACTTGCGAAATCTAATCCAGGCTGTTACAAAGTAAGCCGCTTAAGTTCAATACATACTAAAATTTAGCGATAAAAGAGGGGATTTACATTGCAGATGTTTCTCTTTGTAAGCAATGCCCCAAATGTTTTTATTATTTTTTTTTTTTTACATACATGCACACAAAATACCAAAAGTTTATACATACTTGCACAGCTTGGATGCAGATAATAGCCCTCGAAGTTGTTTGTTTCTTAAACTATTGGCTTTATTATATTTCACAGATTCTTTTTAAATTTTCTAGTTTGTTACATATAGCAATGAAATGTCTTTATTTGCTGTCAAAACTACTGATCAAAAACAATTCGAAAAATACCTTAATAAATACAGTGACACCTATTGTGAATTTCAGGAATATTAAATCTGATGCTGACAAAACATACGACACAACCGTTGCACAGTGGTGCCAAACTGGAATTTACTGTTCAAAATAGTCAGTACAAAAATAGATTTTATTCATGTGGTATATTGAAGAAAATGCGCAACACCCTCGACATAAAAGCTACTAATCTTGGACTTTACTAAACTGAAATTGAATTAACTAAAAAACTGCATATCAAGGAAATAGCTCAACTGGGTTGTCACCATGGTGAAATTATATATATATATAAGATGTAGGAATTAGGTTGTCACCATGGTGAAATTATATATATATATATATATATATAGCCGAATGTCAAGAAAATTAAGAAAATAAAGTGAGAGAGCTGTTTTATTACTTCACCTGTTTCAGCATGGACTGTCACTTCCAAGGTGTATTAAACAAGGTGTGATTGACAACTCAGTTAGGCTCTCTTTTAAGGTACTATTATGCCAAAAAACATAAACAATCGATTCAAAATTCATACAAAATTTTTTCAATTTGACTTTATAGGTTGGTTCTTCTGACAGCAATGTCAAATTCGATCACACTTTGTTGAATACATTTTGGTCACTTCTACCTTGTTGAACATGCCTTGATAAGTGCTGTAGTAAGCATAATATACATACGATAGTAGTAGTTTATTTACCATTGTATATCGATTTATTTATTATATTATTAACCTTTGAAAGGCGATAAAAGAAAACTTATCAATTCTTTTGCAATTGAATTCTCTTCGTCGGCATCTGGGCTTCTGTGGTAGACAAACTCCGCAAAGCAAATTAGTGATAAAATAGTCAAAGAGATGAACACAATGAATGCGGTGGCACAAAATACATTGTATCTGCAACCGCTAAAAAATGAGGAAAACAAAAAAAGATTAAATAAAGGTACAATGGAATAAATATAAAATTTAATTACCAACACATAACTATGTATCTGTATGTTATTAATCGAAGACCACTACTTTATTGTTTCTGGTATTATCTATGTAGTTATAAAATTTAAATTATAAAATTTTTGTTTATTTTCCAAATTGTATTATTTTTTATTTTGCTTATATATGTATGTATGCACGTAGAATGTCATGTTTGCTCAAAGTCTCAAACATTTTTTTACAAAATTGCTTTCTGCGTCATGGGCATGATGCAATAATGAAAGGTGTTGTACGTTGTGACAGCTCGAAATCGAACTACCTTAGGTCAATATTGTATTTTGGAAGTACAAGATAAACGGGAATAAAAAAAA